GGGTATAGTTTCACCAATAAATAATACTCCAGGGTAAAACATACGATCAATTATCAATGCATAAATTAATCAGATTATAAAGGGCTGTCGCTACGTATTATAATCACATAATTAATCTACTGGTATTAAATCTCATCTCTCGAATCTCGACCTAACCATTAATAGATTAATATGCCTATTGAAACTAAGCCTAAACATCAATTCTCATCTGTCGAATCTCGAATCAATATTGCATAACTCATACAATTAAACCTGACCAAATCTAATTGCATAGCATTAAATTAATCAATAGAAAATTAATCAATTATCAATAATAAACAATAATAATTTACCCCTTCGTATTATTCATGGATCCCTACAACCCTAGAATTAAATCTACTCACACATATTTAAATCTAAACAAAACAAAATATTTAAGCAAGACATAATTAATTAAAGGAATAAAATTGCTGAAAATAAAACAAGGGAAGAAATCGTACCAAGCTTAACGGAAAATATAAATTCCAATAATGAAGGAAAAGTAGAGAGAGAATAATGTCAAAAACAAAGAAAATAATGTATTCCCCGTAAATAATAATAATCCTCAACTTTAATAATAAAAAAAAAAAAGAAAAGAAAAACAAAAGCTAAAAATCTCTCCACGCACTACGTACTGCTCCCCCTTCCAAAACTAAAGTCCACCCTTCCTTAAAACTAAATCCCACTAACACTCCAAATTCAAGAAAAGCTACGGAAATCCCACTAGCCAAAAGTTTCCCATAAATCTAACCTTCCACTAACTATATACTACTAATCCAATATATATTGCTCCGTGAAAGTAACCGACATTAGCTAAATAGCTAGAGTAAGGCCCAAGAAAATCGAGCCCTTCGGTTTGCTCGGTTTTGTAAGCTTGGGCCGTTTAATACTTCAGCCCAACTTCCTTCCTTGATTGGTCCGTAATAATAATAACTTGTAAAATCTTGGTCTTTCTCATGTATCAATTCCTTAGTCACCGTATCAAATTTAATCAACTCAACTTTGGGCATTACATATACGGTCATAAAATACGGTCCAAACTCTAATATTTTCGTAGTGGTCTAATAAGGTCGGAAATTGTCATAAATATGCAAATTCCTACAAAATAAACCAACTTTACAAAAACACTAGAAAACGTATATTAGTAATAAAAATAGCTGCGCAGAGCTCAAATAAGCACAAATATGACCGTGGGACGAGGAATAAAAATATATATAAAATAGACTAGTCAGCGGCACCGCCCGAAAACCCCTTACCCTATCACTAGAAATGGCCGAAACCCCCTCCGATCCCCTAACACCAGAAAACGGCCGAAACCCTCTTCCCTAACACCACACACAACAAAATCCCCTACCCTAATAGCGGCACCGCCCAAAACCCCCTACCCTAACATTAGAAATGACTGAAACCCCCTCCTCTAACACCAGAAACGGCCAAAATCCCCTCTTCTAACACCATAAACGGCCGAAACCTCCTTCCCTAACACCACACACCACGAAATCCCTTCCCCTAACGCTGGCACCGCCCAAAACCCCCTCCCTTAACACAAGCAACGCCTGAAACCTCCTCCCCTAACACCGGACACCCTTGAAACATCCTCCCCTAACACCGGCCACCCCTGAAACCTCCTACCCTAACACCGACAACTAGGGGTATAAAAAAAAAACCTGACCCGGTTGACCCGATTTGATGACTCGCCGACCCGGTAAATTTTAACAGGGTATTTTTATTTTTTTCCAAATTTAACGGGTCGGGTACCCGACTCAGGAAAAATGAAGTGTAGCAAGTCGAGTCATGGGCCGCCCTTTGTGCATGGTGGGTACCCGCTGACCCGGTAAGCCTTTTTTTTTTTAAAAAAAAAATAGGGTATATTGCAAGTAGGGTTTTTTTGTTCCTTTTCAAAGTTTTGGCAGCAGCCAGCCACCACTTTTCATTCTCTCTCCATCCCATCTCTCCTTCCCGCCTCTCTTTCTTCTCTCTCCATCCCCTTTCTCCTTCTTGTCTCTCACTCTCTCTCATTCTCCATAGACCACAGTACCACACCGCACCGAACCGGCCAACAGATAGCCCACCGCAAGTACCGCAAATAAATAGCTAGCACACGACGACGGCTCTGAGATATAAGTTGTAATGTTAGTATTGATGCTCCGAGCAGTACAAGAAAAACCATTTTAGGCGACAGATGAGTTTAGTAAGGGCAACAAATCTTTATTTCGTTGCACATTGTGAACCTTTTGTGCGACAAGATTAAAATTGTTGCCCTAAGTTAAATTATGGGCAACTATCTTCATTACTCGTTGCTCAACATGACCTTTGGGCTACGACTTTGGTCTTTGTTGCCCAAAACTATAATTAGGCCACGATAGCCGACTTAACGTCGTCCTTAGTTTATATTATGGGCAACGCAATTGTGGAACTTGTCGCCCAAACATCCAGACAAAGAGGCGGATAATTTTTAGATTTCCAAATTTTTACCGCTTAACTTTGAATTTTAATAAGTTTATTCCTCATAACCCTAGGAAATGCAATTTGCAGTTTATTTTTACCGCCCCCTCACTATTATCTCTTCCCCCCACCCCCTCTCTCTCTCTTTCTCTCTCTCTCTCTCTCCCTCTTTCTCTCTCTTTAACCTTGGATTTTCAATGACTATCAATGAAAATCCATCAAAGTTGTCAAATCTTGGGTTTCATAGAGTCGTTCATTCGCTCACCATCGTTGTGACTAGTAAGGTAACTATTTTGTTCTTACTCCTATCGATTTTTTGTTAATTAAATGACAAATTTGATTTAATATTCCAATATTTTGTTATTAATCTTCTTATAGTTGGATATTTTAACCTTTGAAGGTTTTTCAATTCGAAGAACTATACGTAGCTTCTCCAAGCCTTTTTTCTGCAAATTTATTCTCTTTGTTTGTCTTTATTGATAAAATATTTGATAATTTTATTTTTTTAGGCAATAATATTGATTTCGTTGAATTTATTTTTTTTTAGTCGTAGGAAATAAAAACTGAAAATTTATGCCATTAGAGCGTATTAATATTTGGTCAACTATTGTATTTTATTTATTAATTTCTACTTTTTCAGACTTACAGTGTCATAGCTTGATATTGTTTTAATTTATTGGGTATTGTTGTTTATGAGTTTTAAATTTTATCTTCAATAATGTTTTTATTACTAATAATTATTTGTAAATAAACAGGTTCAATTCAATTCACAACAAAGAATTGTTATGGATATATTAGATCGAAGAAATCTCTTAAAATTCTACATAATATTGGGCAACTAGGTAAATTACTTATTACTTTATCATCGTTTAACAATATGTTAATGGTTGTTTGTCTTTCATATTTACAATTTTATTAGTAAATTAGTATAACTGGTTAACACTAATGTATATATTGGACAATATCTCCTCACAATTGTAGTTCATTTTTTGTGTATGAGTTGAATACAAGTGATTTCATCTGAATTGTGGTATGTTGTATTGGTAAATTTTTTTTTTTTTTTTTGTGAAAAGATATTTTTTATACTATGAATGTCTTGTATCGTCTAATGTTTATTATTTCTTATCATTTTTTAAATACCTAAATGCTAATATAGTGGATGGAACATTTAAATATTAGCGGCTTTGTCACATTAGTCGAAACTAATGGTTAGCTCTTTTTAACTCTTGCAGACTCCTATCAAATTCAGATTCATGGTGCGTGACACAGTCTCCTCTAATTAGCAGCTCAACTTTGTCCTTAAAACCTTTTAATCATGTGGTTTCATGTGTTTTCTCTTATAGCTAGTAATTAGATTGTCATGACACATGTATTAAGTTAGAGATTTTCCATTTTCCAATATTTTGTAATGTAGAATTTGGCTTACTGTAAAGATATGTACTATTTTTTTTATTGGTGACTATGGATATATTATTTTTCCTATGAATGATTGAACGATAACTGTTTCGGGGTTTTTTAATGTGTCCTGCGGGAGAGTTACAATTCCGAGAATGCCCTTCACCGCCTGTACCTGCAAAAACACGAAGTCTCCGCTTGGTTGGAGCTCCGCCTCCGACGATCAAGTCAGTTACGTACAGGAGGAAAAGAATGCGTAAATAGTGAAATTACTTCTCACGTAATGGGAGAATTCCGCAATTGATATTGCTCGGGTTTAGTGTAAGTAGTTAAGGGTGTATTGAATATCTTGTATTGAATTCAATGGAATTGAATGAATGCCCATTAATGAGGATCTTCCCACTATTTATAGTGGGGAGCCTTGGTTCCCCATTTAGGGTTCATGGGACACGTGTCAGCAAGGGATTGGAGCCCTGATGACCAATGGCTGGGTGCCACGTGTAGCTTAGCCGTAGGGCCACGTGGCTGGGGTATTTTTACCCCAAACATTTGCCCCTCTCAGGTGCTGACGTGGCAGGGTGCCACGTGGCGCCTGAGAAGAACACTGACGCATTTTTTTTTGAACCTCTTCAGATTCTAACTGAAGGAAGAGGAGGGAAAAGCAGAAGGGGAAAGGTCACGACCCTTCGCCTTCTGAGGCAAACCCCTATAAATAGGAGGAGACACCCTTGAGAGCTCATTTACGAACTTCGCAAATTTTCTTGAATTTTGAGAGCATCCGGTATTTGAGAGTTGAGAGCAGACGGAAATCTGATAGTTGAGAGCAACCGGTTTTCAGACCGCCTGTGAGGTAGCGAGCAAGCAAAGGTTTTTTGTCAGGGTAGCCAAGAGAACCCAGCCGGTTTTCAGACCGTCTGTGTCTTTGCAAGCATCCCCAAGAAATTTCTTGAGGTTTCAGCAAATTCTCCGTTCCTCTAGGTACCGTCTCTATTCCTTCTCGCTTTTCCATGTATTTCCGTTTACGTCTTTTGCTTGTGTTTTTGTTTATTATTCCCATAGGTAGATGGACCCTTTATACCCATACCCGAAACATAGTTGTGAACTCAGCCGGTCAATTAGTACGGCTGAGTCTAGAACTGGATCTGCCGCCTCTGATATTTGGAATTTCCCCTTTTCAACGCCTGTATCGATCGACTCTGTGTTTGTGCAGGACACGATGGCTAGAATTAGGGGAACAACTATGGATCCCAATTACAGAGGCAGGGACTCAAACGAGTTTTCGCCTGAGAGACAAGCCCCGGACGAGGTGGCTAGAGAACCATCCGGTGGCATTTTCGCCACCCCAAGAGATAGCATCCTAGGCTCCTACGACGAGGAGTCTTCCCCTGCTCAGGAGGCTGTGTAACACCCCAATAATTCTCTTTAAAAGAAAATCCGTAAAAACCTGTGAATATAACCTGTAAAACCAGTAAGACCTGTATAACCTGTGAAACCTGTAAGACCTGTAAGAGAATTAATGGAGTGCTACCTCCACGTGTTCAAACGTTAAGGCTAGTTTCAGAAATCAGCAGCGGAAAACTAACTTAGTTTTAAAAAGAATGTAAGTTCCAAAACTGGAAGTCAAAACTCAAAGTCTTACAAGTTGGAACCATAACGGCCCTTATTCAAAATCCAGTAAAAATAGGAAGTAATGGAACCAACACCAAAATAAAATTCAATCTGTGTTATGAAATTAGCTAACTGTTTAACCAACTCTCCACTCAAATCCCATCACCCTGATGCAAGACAGTTTATGCAAAAACCTGTGATGAATCTTCTCCCCAATATCACAAGTGTAATAATTGGATCATTACAGGGTCATTGAAGGCGAAGGCCATGACCAAAGAAAGACACACAAGAGCACGCAGTCAGCAACGCTGAGCACATACAAGTTACGAAATATAATAAAGAGTTCTAGCATGATACTAACAAGCATTCCATACACTCACAATATTATCATTGACTCGAACACGACTCCATAGTTACTCATTACTAAATTTTTGTTTAAATAACATTGAACATCTCATTAATTGATTGGATTAAGCAATAGACCGGGTTGTCCCCCTGTGCTCCATTCCGGAACATTAAATAAGAAAACCCTATGCCTCCTTTCGGAAGACATTAATAAACATCCAATGGTAGACGGGCGCGACTCCGTGGCTATAGCTAGCATGAGATCTCATCTAACTCATTATAATTTTAAAAGAATTTAAAAAAAGAGACTCGTAGATCAGACGACCTCTGAAAAGTGCACGGCTAATACCCCGTGAACCCCAACCCATGTTTGTCATTACTCTAGATGCGCACAAATCTAGAGTTTTATTGCTCATCCTTCTTGCACTTTACATGATTTACCAGTTTAGATTAGGTGACGATTCGTATGCAATCAAGACAACCAATCATACATCAATCATACAAATAATTCAAGTTTCCAATTAAATTCTCAATTTATCAGTGACAAACAACATTTATTATTGTATCCTTTAACTACCTCGGTGTATAAACACCTTAAGTGCATAAGGCACCACAAATTCTCAACTTTGTTTTATAAGACTTTAATTCTTCCTTTACTCATTCTATTTCAATATAAACGAACAAGTATCAAAATAATTCATTATCAAACAACTCATTACCAAACAATTCCAACCAATCCACAAGTTCCCTAGCATGATTCTAGGTTTTTCCCAAGTCCCTAAACATGCTCCTAAAATCAAGGTTCCTCGTATTCTTGTACGTACCTTGAGTAAACAAATTGATTGGCCACCTTAAAGCTAGAAGTCACCTTCTATGAAGTCCTCTCCTAAACAAAACAACAGTAGTTCAATCAATCACCCAAGCAATATATTTTACAGCAATACCAATTTCTTTAAAATCCTTTAAATCATTGAAACAATGCTCTTAAATTATTCCCAATAGCCAAAGTTAATAATTTAGTACTTGAACTATGAGTTTATATGCTTAAATCACAAAAATATGGCTTATAGCAAAAATTTCAGCAACTTTAAAGTAATGTAATAAATCTGAAAATTCGTTTTAAGCATGTAAAACAATCTCGCAAACATTTTCACTTGAAACAATCATCATATAGTACGTTAGGATGTTGAGAACTTGAAAACCCATCATAAAACCATGACTTAAAGCTATTTAAAGTTAAGATTAAAATCTGAAATTTCAGTTTAGTAGCAAAATATAGGGATACATATATCCAAACTTGAAGTATATGATTAAAATTCAATTACATTCATAAATACCCAATTAAACTTTCAAATTTCACAACTTAAATCTTAATATATATATAATTTAAAATCTGAAATTTAGTTTATAATCAAGGTAATTAAGTTTAAACATAATTTTATACATACTATAATCAAATAATTTAATCCTCCTGTCTTGAACCCAAAATTCAGCTTTCTTTAAAGTCTAAAAATTATTATACTCATCGAAAATTATGGTTAGGATCTTAATTAAACACAAGGTAAGTACTTAAATCAATCATTCATGTTTTAAACCCCCAAATCATGAAAAATCAATACTTAAAACCCAAAATCAGATTTTCTGAAAATCTGAAATTTGTTTACAATCATCAAAATTTAAAGATAGAACCATGTTTAAATATAAGGTAATTAGGCAATTCAATTATTCATGGTTAAGCCCAAAATTTGCGAAATTCACGAAGAATTAAACCTTAATTTCGTAGCTAATAAAATCTGAAATTATTCACATGCTTAGTATATCATAAACTCAACAAATTCGCAACATAACTTAATAAATTTGCAATATTTATCATGCATATGCATAATCAAATCAAAAAAATTATATAAAGATTGAATTTTTACAGAAATTAAACAAGAAAAGAGGAAGATAGAAGAGAAGGGAGTAAGGGGAAACCGGCTGGGCACGGTCGTGCTGGGCGGCTGCGGGCAGGCGGTGGCAGCAGGCTGGGCAACGGTGGTGGTGGTGCTCGGTGGCTGTGACTGGGCAGCGTTCTCTCTTTTTTTTTTTGTGTGAGTGTTTCGTGAATGAGGGTAGGGAAGGAGGGAAAGGGAGTAATAAGGAGAAGCAATTAGGAGGGTTTTTGGGAGGGGTTTACTTAATAAAAAAAAAGAATGGGGAGGAATAAGGTAAGTTTACTTAATAAAAAAAAATATGGCTTAAAGATTTTTTTTGGTTTTATTTGTCAAATCTTTCCAAAAGAAAATATTTATAAAGTATAAAATTATTACAAAGTATTTTTATATGAAAAAAAATATAATTATAATTTGCTAAGGAAAATATGGGGGATTACAGGCTGAGCTTCCAGGATCCGTCAACGAGGATCCCAACTCCCCATCCGGCTCAGATGCCGGTCGCACCGAAAGTAGCAGCTCTAGCTACTTGACCGAGTCAGAAGATAGCGAGGAGGCGGAGAGGCCTACTTGGCAAAGTAGACACGACCCTCTCATGATTGTCGTGTCTCTTAAAGACAGGGCCCTCATGCGGTCTTCCCTAACAGACTTCATCACCAAGCGGCCGCTTGGAGAAGGTTACAAGCTGTCAGTACCGGGAGAGTACGGGACGGTTGTATGGGAGGATGACCAACCCAACGCAGACAACTGGTTTGGGTGCTATGAAGCGGCTTTCCTAGTCGGGGTCCGCTTCCCCCTTCACAACACGATAAAGGCCATACTTAGGGGATATGGCCTAGGCGTTTGGCAACTCACCCCTAATTATTGGGTGAAAATTCTAGGGTATATCGCCGCCTGCGAGATGCAGGATCTCAACCCCGGCTGGGAGGCGTTTGCCCAAATGCATTATTTAAGTAGAAGTCCAGGCGGCTGGAGAGCCTGGTACACCTTGACGACTTATCCCCAATACATGATGACGCTGGATAAGCCGTCTAAATGGTCAGACTGGAAGAACCGGTTTTACCTTGTAAAAGCTCCCACTGAAGAGGAGAATAGGGAGTTCCGGACCTACAACCGGAAGCCAGAGCTTTTGGGGCAGAAGTGTCGGCTTCCCCTAGTGCCGGATAACGACAGGGAGGCCATATTGGACTCCGGATTTTTTTGTACTAACCTCTTCCTCTCTCTCAACCGGAGAGATAATAAGGGTGCCCAAAAACTGGGTTCCCAAACACGAATTCTTTAAGGACGAGTGCTTCTTGTCCGCCTGCGGGCTTAGCAGCATGTTTGAAAGACGTAGGTTACGAGTCTCAACCGGTTTACTTTATGCCGGCTAACACTTTTCTTTTGATTGCAACGTGTGATATTATCATGATCCTGACCGAATGCATTTGCATTTTGCAGAAGAAGCAAAAAACATGCTGCCCACCGCCAAGACACCCGCCAAGAAAGCTTCAGATATCCGAAAGGAGAATCTGGAGAAGAAGCTTGCCGCTCAGGCGGCTAAGAAGGTTAGCCCGCCTGAACTTTTCGTTTGTTTGTATTGGTGCTATTTTGGCTATTTCTTCACCTGACCGTTTGTGACTTTGTTTCAGGATGGGGGCAATATCCCTTGCTCTTTGCAAAAACAGATCCGGCAACGGCCGTCTGTTGAGGAACCTGCACATAAGATGCATAAACCGCTTCCATCGCCCAGACTACTACCGGCGGTAAATCAATAAAGACCCCAAGTGGGTCTAATGCTGAAACGGCCTCAAAAGAGGTCACCCCAATAAGGACCACAACCGGTCCATCTTCTGCCGGGGGCCAGAGAGCTTCCCAACAAGGTACAAACCCCTTCAACCTCACGCTGCTTGACCTACCCATGCGGGTGAAGTCATATTCTCAGTCTCCGCCGGGAGATTCTCTGATCAGCCGGTTGTCCGTAGGCGGAGCATATGCAGCTTACTCACCGTCTGTTTCTGGTGCAGATAATTCTCCACGCTGGCCGGATGCTGCTCAGTACGCCCGGGCCATGCTGAAAGCCGTCCCCCGGGACGAGAAGGAGGCGATTCCTGGAATCAATACCTTCAATGCCGACCGTGTAATGGTTGACCTGGCCGATGTAAGTTGATGAGGACCCATCCGACATTTTATTTGCAGTATACTCATCCGGTTTTCCTACTAATACCGGCTGTGTTGTTGCAGGCACTGCTCCGCGTGGAGGGGCTCAAGAAGGCCTACATCCGCAAGCAAGAGGAGGTAAGAAGAGCCAAACGTTCTGCGGATGACGCACATAGCGTTGCCCACTATTCAATGATTGTGCATGACTTAGAAACTAAATCTATAATCATGCGACAAGCGGATCAGGTCAAGACCCTTCAACAGGCCCTCAAAGAGTCCAATCTCAAAGTGGACAATCTTCAGGCGGCCCTGGACAATTCTGAGGATGAGCTCAAGAAGCATGAAGAGCCCCTTAAGCGGCTGGACCAAGCGGAGAAGAACAATGTCCGCCTGCAAAAGGAAAATGACCGCCTGGTCAAAGAGGCGTCTTCTGCACAGAGCAACTTCCAGGCCACTCTTGAAGCTGATCAGAGCCGGCTCATTGAGGAGAATGAGCAGGACTGCAAAAACCGGATGAAGAGGGTGTTCTCCATTATCCACCCGGGTACAGACTACAACGTCTGGGAGCTCGCCTACAAATACGCAGATCTCGCCATTTTGGCTGAGGAGGAGGGCAAGCCGGGGCCTGGACCCTATGAGAAATGGGTTGATGCCGAGTTCCAGCGAATGCAGGCGGAGGCGGCTGGCAATGAGGAGGTAGTCGAGGATGAGGTTGCTCCCGGCTTCGTTCCCACCACCGACCCAGCACATCCGGAAGGGAACCAGGCTGAGGCTGACTGGGTGACAGTGCAGCTAGAGTAGCAACGACCTCCCGGCCTACGTGCCGTGCATTATTTTGTAATAGCGCCGGAAGGGTCGGCTTATTCAGCTGTTATTTTTTATTTTGAGTATTGATATACATTTTCGCCGGCTGTGCCAGTTTCTTCTGTAAACATTTCATATTTTCACCGGCTGTGCTAGTTTATTCTGTTTAACAACTCCACCGGCTGAGCCGGCTTTGAATGAATTTTGAATTTTCTTTGCTGCTTACTTTTTTGCAAGTGTGTTTCCGCATGACTGGTTGGGGTTAGGGTAATTGCCCCTGGATAGGAGGCTGGCAGTAGTGAGACGGTGCCAGGCGGCTATCCATATGCCATAGTACGAATGTTAACAATTTAGCTAAGTGCTAATCGTTAAAATGAAAGGCAGCCGGTTTTTTACTGATTTGCCGGCTAGGGCTTTTGTAAAGGCCTTTTCGTAAGTTTTAGGGTGTCCATTTGCCGGTTGGGCTTTTGCAAGAACACCCCTACATAGATTATGGCCTAAACCACATGTTTGAGGCCTGCCTTCTCTTAGTGGATCAGGCGGTGACATTAGGTACCGGCTGTCCGTTTTGAGACTAGCCCTTGGTGGTACTTAACCGAAAGAGTGGGCCGGCTGCATGTTTGGGAATGCTATCCTGTGTTTCTTTGGTGCAATGGATCATTCAAGCGGGTAGGGCCGCCTGACGTTTGATCACTCGAACAATTTTCCACCCAAATGGGAGATGTTCTCTTCGATGAATTCACCCGTATGGGTGTCACCGGATGCTTCGTTATGCTTCGTTAGTTCTCAGGGCCGCTGCTTGTGTAGAGCACAAGACATGGCGCATGGAAATTATGTAAGAAGGGCCGCTTGTGATAAGCACAAGACATGGCGCATGTAAGCATAATATGTAGTAAATCTTTCTCATTAATTATGCAGAAGTTTACAAAAGCTATACAATTTCTAGAAGTAGTACTTTTTAATATTGTCTACATTCCAGGTTCTAGGCAGCTTTCTACCGTCTGAGGTTTCCAGGCGGTATGTGCCGTCTCGTATTTCTTCAAAGATCCGGTAGGGTCCCTCCCAATTTGGGGTTAATTTGCCTTGTTCATTGGCCCTACCGGTTGCTTCCATTTTGCGAAGCACAAAATCTCCTACTTTCAAGGGCCGTTTGTGGACCCGCTTGTTGTAGGCTCTTGTCATTCTCAGACGGTAGATCTCATGACGCAAGGCTGCGTTTCCCCTTCGCTCTGGGAGAGCATCCAGTGCAAGCCGCATGGCTTCCCAGTTGGCCTCCTCATCATATAGCATGATGCGAAGGGTTGGTTCATAATGTTCAATGGAGAGTACCGCCTCAATGCCGTATGTCATAAGAAATGGGGTTTCATCGGTTGCCCCTTTTTCAGTGGTCCTGATGGCCCAAAGGACATGAGGTAATTCCTCTACCCATAGTCCACCGACTCTTTCCACCTTCTTCTTTATACCGTCTGAGATCAGCTTATTGAAAGCCTCAACTTGCCCGTTTGCCTGAGGACGGCTAACGGATGCAAAACAATGGGAGATTCCTTGGTCCCCCAACCAGCTCTTGAGGACAGACATTTCAAATTGTGGTCCGTTGTCAAAAACCATAGACATTGGAACCCCAAACCGGGTGATGACGTTTCTCCAAATGAAGGAGATCACGTCCTTTGTTTTTATGCCTCTGACCGCCTCTGCTTCAACCCATTTGGTGAAGTAATCCACTGCCACCAAAATATAGCGGCGACCGCCTGATGCAGGCGCATAAGGACCCAGAATGTCCATGCCCCACTTTGCGAACGGAACCGGACTATGGATGGCTGTTAGGTCAGATGCCGGTCGATGTATCAACCGGGCAAACTTTTGGCATTTGTCACACCGTTTCACCAAATCCATGGCATCTGCCTCAAGAGTGGGCCAGAACTACCCTTGCCGTCTGGTTCTTCTAGCCAGGGACCTGCCGCCTATGTGTGAGGCACAAAACCCCGCGTGCAGGTCCTCTAGGACTTCTCTTCCCCTTTCCGGGGTTACACATTTCAGAAACGGCTGTAGGTATCCCTTCCGGAGGAGCTCTCCATGATGCATAACAAAGCTCAAAGCACGCTTCTTGAGTGCTACTACTTCAGAAGGGTCATTCGGTAGAGTACCGTCTATCAAGTAAGCCCGGATGGTCCATCCAGGTGGCACTTCGGTCTAAGATTCCAATGGGATCATGATCAATGCTTCTTTTCTCAATGACTTCCCAAAAGACTGTCCTAGGAGCATCACAGGAGGCGGATGACGCCAATTTGGAAAGGGCATCCGCCTTATTATTCTCGGACCGGGGCACCTTACATAGATGAAATTCGTCAAGTGACACGACCTCCTCTCTGACCGCCTGCAGATATTTGATCATAGCCGGATGGGTGGCCTCATAGTCACCATTGTACTGGCTAACGATCAACTGAGAGTCTGAGCAGGCGGTAACTTTTCTTGCCCCTGCTGCCTTACACATGCGTATACCGGCTAGCAGGGCTTCATATTCTGCCTCATTATTTGA